TGACTGCTATGGTTCACACGAACAAGCAGGGATATGAAGATAAGGCAAGGCAAAGTACTCTGAGGCCTCAAGATATTATGTTTCCCTATAATTTATATCTTCCCTATAATTTATCAAAATAACAGAAATAACCACACACTGAGCTGATGTGCATTAGAACAGTATTAAGGCTATGCTATCCATCTGTAGCCTTTAGATGACACACCACCTAAACATATACACCTTTTTTTATAGTTCTTTTAATCTGCAAGTAAACAACTGAGATGGCCAAGTTCCTCAAGGCCTTTCTTAATCTTTTTAGATATAACCATCATATATAATGTTGATTGTAATGGTTAAGAGCTGAGGCTTGCAAGTCTGACAAATTCCAATTCTACTATACAGTGTTCTATGAACTTATTAATAAAACTAACATCATAAGATGTCTATGAGGAATAAATGTGATAATACATATAAAGTGCTCAGTAGAATGCCTGGTACACATAGCAACCACTCAGTAAATGGCAGTGTAAAATATAAGTTAATATAAATAGTTAAATAATAGTTAAATATTATTTAGTTGTGTAAACATAATAGTTAAATAAAAACAGTTGAGATTATCTGATCAGTACTTATTATGTAAAGGAGAGAAATTTAAAGTAAAAGTTCTGGTAAAAGCTTATTTTAAAAAAGCATTGAAGCATGATTAAATAAAACATTACCTTCAAAGTACTGTTATTTTCCCAAAAAAAAAGCATTAGGAAAAGGCTACAAAGAGTTAAATAAATTTTCATCAGCATTCATTCAAAACTTTCATCAACCTTCACACTCAATTTAATAATATCCTCTATTCAAAAAGAGTTTTAAAAATTTGAACTATACTACTGTGAGATGAAACCCTCTTAAATATAAGTACTAAAATGTTGTAAGACAGTAGTCTTATAAAACATTTTTTTAATGTGTATGAATCAACAGTTCTGAGGTGGTTAAGCAAGCAAGTTTTTAAAATGATCTGCTGAATAAGGTAAAGGGTAATTACAAAAATGAGAGACATTAGCCTCAAATTATATTACACAAGCTATTTCCACTGATAATGAAAGTTAAGACATCCATCTGAACTTTGGCAATTAGGTTACAGAATGTTATATTTTCAGAACAGAACTTACACGACTGATTCTATTCCTATTTCTTTAATTCTAACAGAATCTCAAAGCAAAGGAACAATTTGAAAAAGCAGCACGAACTCCCTAACTGAGCAAGAGAACTGGATGCAATGAGTAATGAAATTGCCTCGTTGGTTTAACAGTATCAGGCACCAGGACAGAGAAAATCTACCCAGAACTGAGGGCTACGGTCAAGGCATTTGACCTCAACACTGACAAATGGGGAGCCAAGACATACAAGCTCCAGGTTTGCATTCAAAACTGAATTCAGGGTGAGCCAGGTCCATCTTAGTTAATATGTGTATGAAAACAGTAAGAAAAATTTGGATTTAGAGATTCTTATTTTTTAAGTTTTCTCTAGTCCATTAAATTCAACCTTTTTTTTTTGATATTTACATCTCTAGTAAATAAGTCTAAACTAAATCAAAGTCTGAGACTACTCAAGTAAAAATGGTCTTCATAAGTAGCTTCACTCCCTAGCAGCAATTACTGAAAGTTCAGAACTATTTCAAACTACAGGCCAATTTCGGGATCTGAAAATCGAAAGTCACGAAGTGATGGCAAATGTCACATTAGCATATGATTCACAATTCTCTACATACACTATCAGCATGAAGTGGTGCACTTCCCAGTTTCTAAACCAAGTCCTCAACCGACAATACCATTCAAAGTTAAACAAAACCCCCCAAAGAGCTCAATTCTGAGGTTTGTAATGATGACTGTAAACTTCTACAAAAATATGGCACTGCTTTACTTCCTAAGTGGAAATCAACTTCCCTTTCGTAGCCCATTATGAATCTATATATAATCTTTTTACATAATACATATTATTAAATTGCTATATTAAAAAGCATTGAGAATCACCAATGCAATGTTAGCTCTGAGAGAATAGTTTTTAAAAAAAAAGAAAAAAGAAGCTCTTATCTTGTCTGCTTAAAACTGTTATCAACTCTAAGAAAAATGTCCCGGCGAACCTGTTCTCAAAGCAGCTACACATTCCTTACTCCTGGACTCGAGTTGCCCATCCCTTCCCTGGGCTCCTACAGCACTCGGTACATTCCTCTTGTACGACACTAGTCTATTCCTATAATATTAGCTATTTACTTAATGTCTGTGTCCCCGCCCTCCCCTCACCCCCCAGCCCTGCCCGCCCGCTAGGCCTGAGCTTAAGAGCAAAGGACTCTTACCACCACCTTCATGCTTAGCATCAGATATTCAAATGCCAGGTCAATAAAATCTAATTAAATAAAAAAATGAAGCCCAAGAAAGTGTGCTTGGCAGGGGACATATTTGTTGTGGGTTTATTGAAGGAGGGGGAGTTAAATTTAAAATATTCATCTAGAGAGTCTCTGTGATTAAGTCACTGTCTGACCATAAAGCCAGAATCTTAAGGTTTTACACACTGCTGTAGAATCCCATTAACAGTACGCAGACATGTGACCGATCCTTGTAGAGATACTAAAAGGACAACTTCAAATTCCATTCTTCTCCCTCCAGTAGGTCCCATTTATTTTCCTAGAAGCCATTGCCCACAGGAACCAAGGCCCTCCATCCAGCCCTGAACCATCAGACCCAATTAAGAGCAGTGCTAACCAGAGCCATCAAGTTGCCTACTTCTTACCGGGGGACAAGCACTTCTGCAAGGCACTGGGAAGATGTGCACGGAATTGGGCCTGAGACGTGACCTCTGTTCAACAATGAAACAGCACCTGAGATGCTGTGGGTGGCCCTAAGAACCTAAATTCCCTTATAATGTATTGTTAGTAGTGTAATATAGCTTATACTGCACAATGTTCTCTGTTCTACATAACAACCTTACAAAGAAGACTTTTAGGACTCTAACTCCTATATCGAGGATTACTATGGCCTTGAGGTATCATTAGTGTCCGTTCAACAACTGCGATACTTCAAATCAATTCTCGCATGATAAATGAGTTAGAATGTAAGAAAACTTCACAAAGTTTTCAGTGAAGTTCTGTGAAAATAAATATGTGCCCCACCCCCAAGTCATCCACTGTCATTAACAGAGAAATAAACTTCGGTTATTACAATTCGCATGGAGAAGACTTGCTGGAGGAGAAAAGTCAAGTTTGCCACAAGGTTAGGTAATTAACAGGCTGCATATTATTTGCACAGCCTCCCAAAGCATCTCATGTGCACAAGAAGCAGGCGGGTTGGAGGGAGTGGGGTGTAAAGAAGTTTGCAACATATCTGGCTCGGGCAGCTGACTGCTCCACATGGGCAACGACAGCCCTCTACTAGAGATCAGTTTTATACTGCTCTCTCAGATACTTTTTTAAAAAGAGAGTTTTAGAAGTGATAACTTTTGGTCTATCACAGTGTAAACAAAGTCCGTCCTGGCTTAATCATATTATAAAGATCCTCGCATAAGTACATACTTGAGCATATATACTTAGATACGTACTTAGGAATGGTGTTTGGGCTATGTTATGAACAGTACTATGGGAAGGCTATGACTTTAAATTCGAACTATTCTGAAAAGCTATTTTGCCAGTTGGAAAATGTGCAAAATGAATCATATGCAATAGGAAATCTTTTGTAAAGCAGAAATTTTTAAAACAAATTGTCATCCTCTCTGTAAATTTTAACTTTCGAACAAAAGGTTCAAATAAATGACAGTTCCAGCTAGTTTGTTTCAAGTACTTAAACACTTTAGCGTTATTTCTCCTACTAAAAATATTTCTCACAAGGTCCTGACAAATACAGCTATGCCAACTAAGAATTGTTTTTCAAAGCCTCCTGTTTTTGCAATAACTGCCACATTCCTGTAGTTATTCTAGTAAGTCTAAACTCTCTAAACTTAATACTGTAACACTGAAACAGTGCCAAATCATCAATATCTTAATACAAATCAAATGCCTTCTTACTATATGCATAAAACAAGTGTTAAGTAAAGCTTAGAAAGCATAGCTGCCTTCCAAAAGATCCTTGCTGCCGGCTTAAATTTGCCTAACGCCAAAAATATTTCCCACCCAAAATCTACCCTCTTCGTTAAACAAAAGGTTTAGTAATCACTGAGCACTGCTTACTCAGGAATGAAAATTTTATACAATGGAGAATGTGAAAGTTTCACTTTCATATACTCTATATAACATTACTTTTCTAAATTATTTTGATACTTCTTAACAATGATGTCCTTTTAAATCTAACCCTGGGGACAGATGGAGCTTTACTTTTTATATTTTATTTCTGCAATATTCTGATGTGATTTAGAATGGAAAACACTGCCACCGATTTACGAATGGCCACATGAAAGGAATAAAAAGACGCACCAAATGGTGGGTGGTGCAAGGGCTGTTCTCTTCCAAATTAGAGAAACTTCTCTGTGTCCTCTACAGGAGAAAAGTGGAGGGAGAAGCAGAAGGAAATCTAAAACTTACAACTCTTTGCTTCTTAAAACATATATAATAGTCTTGAAAGTGTAATTTTTATGAGTCACAGACTCAGTTCCAAGAAAAAAAAAAAGCTCTTCAACAGTGAGCACTGGTATTGAAAATCAAAAGGAATTTTAGCCTAACGAGTAATAGGAGCTTTCTTACATTTTTTTTTTTTTGTCATCCCATATTAAGTTGGTGACTTTGAGTCCAAGGAAAATTGTTTTTTATGCCTGCCAATTCTTATGTCCCTTGATATTTCTGTGTACTCTTACTAATTAACTGAACCTCATCTGGATTCAGATGCTCAAGAGACACGCACAACCTCGGAACTCAAAATATTTCGCAGTCTACCAAGAGAGACCTATTTGATTCAAGAGGGGAGGGGATGAGCAAGAAGTTGAGTACAGGGCACGAAAAGCTGCAGGCCAGGGCAGCTGCGCCCAGCTTTTTAGACACTTACTGGTTTGCTAGGGTACACGTTAGACAGATGCATTTTTAGTTTCCCCACGGTCCAGTTCAAGAAGCAGCTAATAGTCTGGTCACTGTATTTCTGATTCGGTGCTTTAATGATGAGGGTCACAGGAATCTCCATCCCACTTTGGTCCATGGTGCCCCCAAAGTCGAAGAGAGTCGAGAAGCAGCAGTTAAGCCCAAATGAGCCGAGGTGGTTACTCCCGGCCCGAGTGGGATGGGGACGGATGCGAGTGAGTTCTTAATATTCCGTATCCAAGTCAGTCACAAGTGCGTCGGGCGATACAAAGGCCATTGCCGGTACCAGGGATGATGGACAGCGGCGGCGGCGGTGGCGGCGGCGGGGTCTGGGGCTCCGGCCGTGGATGCAGAGTTCCCCGCCAGGTCCGCTCCGCCGGGCTCCACCGGAGTCCGGACTGCGGATGGAGGCCGGGAGAGAGAGAGAGAAATCGATGAGAAGGTTGGAAAACTCCAACCTGACACAGTAGACAGTGAGACATTCATCTGCCAACCATTTCCGGGATGCCCTCTCCCTTGGGCACTGAGGATATGGTTGGTGGTCCCTGCCCTCCTGAGCTTTGAATCTAGGAGGAGAAACACACTAAACGCACACTCACGAGCTAACTTATAAAGACAAAAAAGGGCATGGGGTAAGGCAGAACAACGGGAGGACCTGATCTGAACAGGGGGAATCTGGAGGACCCCTCTGAAGGAGCGGTGATTAAGCTGCATCTGAGGCTGAGCAGGAGCCCGAGGAAGCGCTGGGGGGA